TTATTTCGCTTCTTTTCAGTAAATTAATAATTTATTTAAGTAATTTTTATGTTCGACTTTTCGATATGCTTACGCTCCCCACGTAGAGTTATCATGTCCCTCTGGGGAGTGTGCTCAATAGTTTGAGAAACGATGCATATAACATTTTGCAAATACTTTGAGTGACTGAGTGTTAAATAAACCTTGCACTGTAAAGCTGCAGGAAAGCTATTGGGGATTGACCCTCAGAATTTTGAACTATGCTCGAGTGACGAGAACTAAGCAGGCACCCCTTTCTAAATCTCCACACCACATCAACGGGAGGACATTTGAGTCGCGAAAGATTTAACGTGCATCAGCCCACCCTCTGAAAGGTGGATCTTCAACGGCTCTAGACTCGAACTCATGACACGCCAGCCCCGTGTTCATTACCTTGACCACTAGGCTACCACGGACACTCTTTTCCACAATTTATAATCTCTTAAAATTTTTAACCTAGAGGACAAAACATTTTTCCTTAACATTTCTAACCTATAAAAACATAATTTTTTCTGCCTTTTAATTAGATATTTTATGTAAAAATAATAAATAAGTGGCTCCCTAAAGTTATTAATTTTATTGGTGTCTTTATTTCGTTTTTAAAATGATTTCTTCACACACATATAAAAACATCATTATGTAACCAATAAAACTTATGATTTAATATATATATATATATTTATATTTACCCGTATGATTAAATAACATATAAACGTATTTTTTCAGGTAATTTAATACAGCATCATTTGCTAGTATTTCAAAGTTTAAAAATAAACCAGTTAATAAATTAAATTTAAAACTTCCTTTAACGACTGAAATCAATTAAAATTTGTGCATCATGTGGTTTAAAAAAGTACTGTTCAGGAGTAGGAGTCGAACCTACAGACACAAAGTGAATCGGATAGCCACCATGTATGCAGATGCAACCTTTTCAGACAAGGTTGCAATAATGAGGATACAATGCTTGCCAAAAAAGGCTTGGTTTCTACAATGGCCGATACCAATCGGGCAACTATTCTTTTAAAGATGTATTACATTCTGAATTGTTCTTTTCTTTTTTTTGCGTTTCATTCTTTTTAACACGCTGTTATAAGTTTCACTTGTATGTAATGGAATCTTTGAACACGATTTTTACCCACTTTAAAAGGTCAGATTTATTCGAAATTTTGCACACTTGTCAAGGACCGATGACAATACAATAATTTCATAATTTTTGTTTCCTTATCCTGATCATGATGGTCAGGAATAAGGATTTTAAGGATTTTCGAGATCTGGCGACTAATTAGTTAACTCGTTTCCAGATTTGGCGACTAATTCTGCATGCCATTTTCAAATTTGGCGACTAAAAGATTAAGGATCAACCCTAAGACGGCAAATAGGATTGCAGTTAAATAAAACAAAAAAGTGTTCTTTATATAAAAAAGGGTAGGTTGAAAATAAAAAAAACTCGTGCATGTGAATAAAAATAATTTATGCTCTTACTGAAAATATATTTTTTATTTTTATAAAAATATATATATACGTTTATAGAAGTTTAGAAGTGATGATACGATTTAACATTACAGCAATACGTTTAAATGGTGATAAATGTATGTTCTAACTGCTAAATATATGTATATTTTTTATTTTGATAAGGCAATATGTTTTAAAATGATGATACAAATAAACATTATAGCAATACACTTAAAAGGTGCTAATAAGATTGACATTTAATATTTCTTCTTAACACACTTTTATTGGTTTGACCTGTATCTGTAGAAATGGAATCTTTGAAGTATAACGATATGGAGGAAATAAATACCCTTCAGACCCATTAATTAATATCCATTGAATAGCAAAACTAATTTCAGCAACCACATAATTCCGGTTCCAAATATAGAACTCAAGGATAAATTCAACAAAGAATAAATGATACTTTTAAAAACTAAAAAAATAGGCTTTTATTGTGAATCGAACTAAAAATGAAAAATAAATTATAGTTTATTTAAAAAACTAAAAACACGCTTTTATAGTGAATCGAACTAAAAAGTAAAAAAAAACTCTTAATATAAGAATAAAATGATTAACGAGAAAATTATATAATGTTATTGTGGTAAAAGCGTTGGGTGCTTTGTGCTACATTTTTACACTAACTCAGCATTTTGGAATAGAACTAGTAAGAAATTATAACAATTAATATAGAGCACCCCACGCTTTTATCCCAATGATATTAATTTTCTCCGTTAATCATTTTATTCTTATATTAAGAGTTATTTTTTTACTTTTAGTTTTATGGATTATAAAAGCGTATTGTTTAGTTTTTTTAACTGTAATTTATTCTTATATAGCTTCTTTCCTTCATTGCCGTATTGTCTGAATTTAAAGGGATGCCGCATTTACAACTGATGCAGAAGTCCGATGCCACAGCCACCCGGCCATTCTGAACAGCGACACGTTCACTTCCTGTGTTCTTCAACTTTTCTGCTTTGGTGGCCTCGGTAGCTTTGTGGTCATGGTCATGGTCCCCTTGTTTCTCTGATCTCGACATTGAAAACGCACCTTGAGCATTTTTGCTATTTGAAAAATTCTCGAAGTGGACTTTCTAATATGACTTTCCCAATGACTTCACTCCTTAGATCAATGTCTCTGAGCTGACATTCTCGTGAGCATATCACAGGCAAAAAAATATTAGGTTCATTGGTTCGAATCCTAATTCGATCCGAACACCTCATATCGCGAAAAGTAAAAGTGTGTTAAAAATCTTAGAGATCTGCCTGTAAATTCTGCTGAACTACATCGTATACCTTGAACGAAAATTAATGATGTAAAAACAAGGCATTGTCATATCAAGTAGATGTGGCGGTAATTCCAGATGCTCAATGTCAGGCTCCTATTATAGCTGCAAATGATATACAAAAATAAATAACTGCGCAGTCCATTTTCAATGAATAAATATCACGATAGCAGGAAGTTATTTTGTTACTCATTTTACTCTTAATATATCTTTGTCTCTTTAACTATCTATAAATTGAATTATAAATACACAAAGAAAATTTGAACTTTAAATCAGTTCCCTTTTGTTCTGTTAATCGAGAAATTACAAATGTCGAAGAACAAAATATAAATCATAATTTATGGGAAAAAGATATTCAAAAGTAAGGACATTCGTGTAATTATTAATGGTACGACAGATCACATTAAAATGTTTTTTAAAAATATTAAATTTAAAAACACTATTGATCCATAAAATAAAATAAATGAGAGGTAAATATTGTTTATGTATTATTGTTAAAGTCATAGGTGACAAAAGTAATATTTTCAAAGTACAATCACTTTAGTGTCGCCGGGTATTATAATTTTTTATAAGGATTCTTGTATGTATGGCTATTGTCACCACATTCAACAATATTTAAAAAGTGATACACAAGAGTTTATTGTCTGCATGAACTGAAGATAACTAATTTATCTCTTAATTTCTTTTGTAGTTTTTGACAACACTTATAGTCATTCCATATTAATTACAATTCTGGTAGAACATCGTGTTACAATGTATTTCATAAATTTTTTATCTATTAACAAGCTGCATTACAATCCATTTGTTCTTTTAAGATTTGTGGAACATCATTTAAACAATAAGTAACATTCTGGAACACGCACTATAGATAATCATTGTCTTTCCCCATCGCCATCATACTTCCACCAAAAGTTGTTTTATCCAATCTTTATAAGAACTATTTAAATGAAAACTGCTAATATATCTAGATAAGTCTGTGAATTTATGTTAATGAAAATAAGATTTTTAATCGAAGAAAACTGTTTTATAGTTATACAAAAATACAAAATAGCTTCTCTGCCGATTATTGACAAAAAGAGGGCCTCATTAATAAGCTACAGTTGAAATTTCAGATGTAAAACGTCATATCGCAAAGTTGGAAATTTACAATATCATAAACTTAAAGAATTAACCATTTTGTATCAGCATCACATGATATTTTTCGTGTAAAAATGTCCAATTTTCAGTCGAATAAGCGTCGTTTGTGGGAACTTACCTTTATTTGAAATTTGCAACTGACACTCATAGAATGCTTGTAGATGCGTAAGCTGAGGCTGCTATAAGATAACAAAGTTTGTGACAGGGTTTACGCGTTTTTCCTATTAATCCTCTGAGATACTCAACGCCGTGAGCTGATGGTAAGACATTAAACTTAGAAGTGTAATTATAGAACGGAATTTTTTAGCGTGTTAAAGAAATTAAGGAACATAAAGATCCATTGATAATCTTTTTACTAAAAGATAAGTGGTTAGAGAGAGAATTCCAGGTGCCTATTTACTTAGAATTTAGGGATACATTATATCATTCCTTTATATAAGGGAGGGGCTCTAATATTTCTAATGTATAAATCAAAGTCTAAAATATTTGCATATATTTTTTAATTAATAGATCTTGAATATAAAATATATAATAAAAAGATGAGAGAGAGAGAGAAAATATTTTTCAAATGATTTTATTTGCCATTAATATAAAATGTGAAATGATTTTTTCACAAACATATAAAATAACAATGTCAATAAGAATAACTTGCTTTTCGATACTAAAAATGATAAGCATTTTGCCAGAAGGTTTCTAATTTAAAAGAAGAATCATTCGATGAATATGATATGTAACATTAAAGACCTATTCAGAAATTCTATAACAAGTGGTAAAAGAAACCACTATTCAGGAGCAGGAATTGAACCTGCGGACATAACAGAGAACCGATAACCACCACTTTTGCAAATGCAATCACACAATGGATCAGAAAGTCCCTTTCAAACAGTACTGAAGGGGATCTATTGCTTTCCATGTATCATTGCTTTTACAATTGCCGATGTTATTCGGTCTTCAGCCTTTTCAAATGTGTCCCTTTTGGATATTTTATTTTTAGTTTTCCATCTTTCTGTGAACATTATTGCTTTTGGAGATACGCCAATACCTCATGAACTGAAACCAAGGGTTGATCGCATTTCGCAAACGGTGTAGAAGTCCGATGCCATTACCACTCGGCCATCCTGAACGCATCGCTCTCGTTCCTTATTTTTTCTTTACTCTCCCTCAATTCCGCCTAGAGCAGTGCTTCTCAAACTTTCAATGTTTACAAGCCAATTTTCATCGGCGTCACCCTCCATACTATAACAATGTATTGAATGTAATAATAATTTATTTGAAGAGATAAAGCTGCAATATGATTTTAACTATATAAATCATACACATTACCTCAAGAAAAGTATTACATTTTGTATATCACAAGAGCATGGAAGTCACTAGAATCATTAAACTTGTTCCTATCTCAGTATTGATAAATTCATTAAGAGGGACTCTGTACCCTAAAAATAACAAACCTATCATTTTTTTTATTTTCATTTAATCTTATTCTATTGCATTATTATCTTTCGATTGATATATCACTTGTGCATGTCGGAAAGTTAGAAGTTGAATAAAACTTCATTTTGAAAACAAATTAGGCAATTCAGCCACACCCCCTTTTAGAAAAAAAAAAGCTAAAAAATGCGTTATGATAAAAAAATCTATTTTATAAATAGAAATAATAACTATAAAAAAGAATGTGTAGTATTAAAAGCAGAATATTTCCGAGGCAATACAATAATGTAATTTTTTCTTCCTTGTGAAATGTGTGCATGTAAAATTTTTAAATTAAGGCATTTTATATTAATAATTTTATATAATTTCAGTTCTTATTCCTGATATATTTTTTCATACAAATGTAATACTTTAATATTATAAGAAGAAAAACAGCTAAAAATTTCTGTCGTGACAGAAAAAAAAAATTTTTTAACGTTTTTCTTGAGTTTTCATTGTGCAATTAGTACTCTCTAAAAGTTGATCATTTATAAAATATGTGTGGGTTGAAAAACATATGAAAATGCAATTATTTTAAAGAAAAACGTATAAGTAATATCTTAAAGTGGTATTTTAAGTTTAATTAAACTATAATAATTATTTTTTCAGAATTATAAACTTTAAAGCTGGTTTTTCTCAGTTTGTGTTTTTCGAAACCTTAGATGCATTCAGAAATGCTACTCCTTCGACAATTGATTACCAATCACTTCCTATTTTTCCTGCGTGTTAAAAAATAAAAGCATGTAATAAAATTAGGGATCCGTTTTGCTATAAACTGAATACTTTTTTAAAAAATAAAATGTAAGACATGTTGGCTTTTCGTTGATTTTTAGCCTGTATATCAACATTTTATTTTTCTCGAAAACGAATAGAGTTATTCTAAAAATCGATCCCTAAAGTTGTTTAGATCATCCATAAGAGACATCCATAAGAATATTATAAAATATTTCAGGTCAAAAAATTAATTTTTACAAAGGAGGTAGGATTTTAAAATTTTTCCCAATTTTCTTCAAAAAATTAAAATTTTTAAAATTGATGTGAATAATATATGAAAATTTTCATCTGGTAACATTTTCTTGAATAGAAACATTGTATAAAATGCTAAAATATAATTTTTAAATACGTAAATAAAGAAGTTTGCTCAAAGGGTGCCAAAGGTCCCCTTAACATGTATTCTTTGTATGTGGAGTACTGAAAAACACATTTATAAGTATTTTATATTAGTGTAAATAGTGTCCGAAGGTAT